AGCGTCGTCTGTCGCAGCGACGTTCCGAAGGATGCAAAAGTGGTGACACATAGGTTCGTTTCCATACGCAACGGGACTGGCTGGGTTCACGCCTCTGCATATAATACACCTCTTCAACCTGCATAACGACCACGACCAATGCAAGCAGCAAGCAGTCGAAGGATGAAAATCAGATACATGTAGATTGCCCTCCGCATTAACCGTTTGCTTTGTGGAGTACCCCTGCCGCCTCGACAGCATTAAGTAAATGATTATTGAGATTCCTCAACCAAAGTCCGCCTTGATCATCGCATCTTCAATCGACAGTTCGTATACCGCGGTTTTCCCCTCCTTGAAGGTTGAGGATCTGTCCCGAGCGAAAACTGAATTCCGCGTGACTATTCATTCCTTCCATCGAAAGACGGTGTGATGTGCGATGGGGACGCGACAGATATACGTATGGATTGTATCACGGATGTCGCAAGTCGTCGTCAACTAATACTAGATGGAGTATGCAACTGGCAATATTGCCTGTTTCTACTCCGTGTACATGGCTATTATTGCCATGCTGTGTACGGTGTATGTACAAGTACTTTTATAACGGTACAAGGGCCGTCTCTGGGCTGCATCGGGGAAGCGAAGCCATCTCGCCGGAGCCTTCGTCTCTTCGCGCCAAGATCGGTAACAAGAGAGGACGTAAAAGTCTTGTTTTGCCAGGTGGTTGCGTATACCAAAGCGTACAACCCCGCGATAACAGGCTATCGCGGCAGACGACAGACATCACAGGACTCTTTGATATCCCCACGCCATGGCCCGTAGCGCGTTAGTTGAGGCTGGTGTCCACGAAGTGTGATATCTTAGTCATCGTACTCGGAGAACGTCCATGCTCGGCTTTTTATAGAGCGGACGACATCGTCTGCGCTGAGAGCAAGACGGACCTTTTTTTGCTGCTCCATTCTCAATATATCGCGGGGAAACAGTTATTTCCCGAGGACACGGTGGCGTCCTCTATATCTGGTGTCCACGGTTTCACCCGTAGGCTGTTTTCTGGCGCATAGAAACCCCATATTCATGGCCATTATGATATCATCCTCTACATCACCTGAAAAACCAACTCAACAGAAGACGAGCTTCATTGGTTCTGAGCGCTTCATGATACTCTGGTAGAGAAAGTAATCAAACACACCAATGGAATCAAGGGCTAAATTACCCAGGAAGGAAAATGCAGGATTTTGTTTGATATTGAGGAGTACTTTTGACTTCCTCACCACATGTCAGAGTTCGGGTATCAAGCCAAATAATAAAATCTGGGGATAACACAAGTAAAGCAACTAGTTACCTAGTTGCCCTGTAGTTATACCGAGCTTTGTAACATGTTCGATGTCTGTTTTGTCTCAACCGTGACACAGGCTGGAGTAACCAGGGCGCATGGCTCACCAACTAGTGAGTGCCCCAAGATCATCTGCCTCGTGGTCACACCGGATCTTGAGTTCAATAATATATCTCAAAATTATGGCTGCCTTCTTCTTCTCCATCCCACACACCATCTTCATAAAGGACTCATTTTTGAGGCCTTTTAGTGTGGCTTGGGGCTGATACGAGTTCGCTTAACACGGAGAAGATAGCCTCAGGCCCTCTAAACTTGTCCGTCCCCTTATCCCGCTTTGACTCGAACCAGCTTTGGGGATTGCTTTATTTTATTATTCCAGCGGCTCGTTCGCCTCATCTTCATGTTATCCGATCGCCTTCAGCCTGGTTTTAACCTGGTGATTCGCTTCTTCTTGGGGGCTTGAGACTGCCCGGCGTGGCCTTTTGCTCGACGTTGCTTCTTTTTCTGCGAGGGACAAAAAAAACAACAAAAGCAAAAACAAAAACAAAAAAAAAATATAAAAATAGCGAAGATCTGATAAGATATTGATGACATAATATGTTTAATATTACATAATCATGTCTTACTCAGCCATGACGTCGTTGGCCGAGGCCGCCTTCTTTGACATCACCGTCAACCTCGATCCGTCCAAGGCGTTGTGTCTCAATTATATTACTGTCATTGCTGGAGATGTCAACATCTTCTGTTTGTGAAAGCTAGCTGATGATAATGATTCTCTGCATGCGGAGCCCTTTCCGCTGTAGTGATTGGCATAATGTCGACATCCACAAACCCACAGTCGGATGAGCACAAGCTCCGGCACCATGCCACCACCACCGATGGAGATGCAAATGAGCCACAAAACCTCCCAGACTACGGGACAAGGTTCATTAGTTCAGAGCACCTCGAGCAGTTCAAAAAGGCTCTTGATGCCCCCGAAGCGCTGTCCCTCACTGCCGTGAACGACTGGCGACCTATCAATCAACGAGTACGAAAGCCTGCGAATGGGCGTAAACCGAGACGAAGACGGAAGGACGAAACCCGGGAAGGATTCGTATATACATTGCTGAAATGGCCATTCCTTATATTTGTTTTGACGTGGATAGCTGTACTGAGCTTCTGCTATCTCCTCACACGTTTCTATATACTCTTTTATGAGAACCTGTTTTCCTGGAAAGGGAAGAGGCGCAGACTACGAAAGACACTTCGATCTACGGAGGAATACGAGAGATGGAAGGATGTTGCAAAAGAATTGGATGCATTCTTGGGCAATGATATCTGGAAGGAGGACGACGAGTATGCTTACTATAACCATGTCACCGTCAACGCTGTCGTTACACAGCTGCAGGACCTGAGGTCGAGGATCCAAATTGCCACAGACGAAGGCCGCAATTCGGAGAAAGAGCACGCCGTCGAAGAGCTTCGTGCTCTGCTCGAGGCCTGCATCAAGAACAACTTTGCTGGCGTTGAGAACCCAAGGCTCTACAGTGAAACATACTTTGGGACAAAGTACCTCGTTCAACAATTCATCAACGAAGCTGAGGCATCCTTGAGGATCTTGCTCGAGAACGGCGGTTTACAGGACCATGACAAAGCTCTTTTCTTCAAGCATCTAGACACAAACTTTGGACGAACGGCTTTGTGTCTCTCTGGGGGGGCCACCTTCGCCTACTACCACTTTGGCGTGGTTCGGGCCCTTCTAGACAACGGGGTGTTACCTGATATCATATCTGGAACATCTGGAGGTGCCCTTATTGCTGCCTTAGTTGCCACAAGAACTGACGATGAGCTAAAGCAGCTACTTGTTCCTGCACTTGCGCACAAAATCAAAGCCTGCCGCGATGGCTTTTCCGTCTGGGTGAGACGGTGGTGGCTCACGGGCGCACGATTTGATACCATGGATTGGGCGGAGCAGTGTAGCTGGTTCTGCCGTGGTTCGACGACTTTTCGAGAAGCATATGAGAGGACAGGTCGCATTTTGAATGTATCATGCGTACCGTCCGACCCTCATTCCCCAACCATCCTGGCAAATTATCTGACCTCCCCCAACTGTGTAATCTGGAGCGCCGTCATTGCATCTGCTGCGGTCCCAGGCATCCTGAACCCTGTCGTTCTTATGATGAAGAAACCAGACGGAACCCTGTCACCATATTCCTTCGGTCACAAGTGGAAGGATGGCAGCCTGAGGACGGATGTTCCCTTGAAAGCGCTAGATATCCATTTCAATGCTACTTTCCCCATAGTTTCACAGGTAGGGCTAAAATGAAGCACCGATATTTTTGATTGTGTTATTGTAAAAGGGTTTACTGACAAGGTTATTCAGGTTAACCCGCATATCAGCCTCTTCTCGTTCAGCACTCGTGGTAGTGTTGGCCGCCCAGTTAGTCACCGCAAAGGTAGAGGCTGGCGTGGCGGCTTTCTTGGCTCTGCCATTGAACAGTTCATCAAGCTCGACCTCACCAAATGGCTAAAGGTCCTCAGACGCCTTGAGCTACTTCCTCGCCCACTTGGACAAGACTGGAGCGAGGTCTGGCTCCAGCGTTTTGGTGGCACAATAACCATATGGCCTAGATCAGTTTTGTCTGATTTTTACTATATTCTATCAGACCCTTCCCCGGAAAGATTAGCTCATATGCTACATGAGGGTCAATCAAGTACCTTCCCAGCAATTCAGTTCATCAAGAACAGAATGAAGCTGGAGAATGTTATACGCGAAGGCTACTTAAAGTACACCTCTCCTGACAGGAATCCCAATGCTGCGGATTCTGGAATCCGACGTAGGCGTGTGCCTACCCGGTCCCAGTCTGAAAGAGTTATTGGAGCCGCGATCAATGGTGAACAAACCGTCGATCTGTTAAGTGATCAAAACGTAAACGGAACATATACTTCTGATGAGCAGTATACAACGGATGAACCTCCCGAGTTGGACCCAGAGCAGATACCCTCTTCCGCCAACCGCCGTGATAGTGGTGTTATAGAAGAGCTGAAGCGGCAATCTGCTGTGTTCTTCGATGATGATGATGACGACGACAATGCCGCAACCCTAAGCGAGTGATTGACGAATAGCCTGCCGCCCGTTACACCAAGTCACCGCCTTCTATGATCGACCGGCCTGAGCCAATATTAATGCAAAACCCTGCAGCAGTTTGACCGATCTGGGTTTACGTTTAAGTTTCCAACGACACGTCGTAATTGCTTATTCTCCAGCTTTATACATACGCCTTGCATGTAAAGTTTTTTGGATTTCAGTTTCTTCTGGGTTAGATGGCAAATGGGGCTGGCGCATGCTTACCAGTTATCACATTTAATTTGCTGTTTAGCTCAAGAGATACCATATTCGTTTTACTGCAGTAACATTATTGGATAGATATCATGTAACCTTCTTCCTACATGGTACACAAAGGAAAATAAACCTAAGATTGAAGAATGACTGACCGATATTGATATGCATGATAGATTACGTCCATGATTATGGTAACCATAGATACCGGGATGTACATGTGTTCGACATTGAGAAGTATATCTACAACAGAATGCTCCAAAGCTCTACTAAACTGAAAGTGCCGTAGACTATCGTAGAGCTTCCAGCTATATTAAATTAGAGCTGTAAAATAAAACTCTAAGATGGACTACGGCTGCAGTAATATCGATATCAGATCACAAGCCATTTCTCTGTAACTCTCTTGCATAAGTCTTTTTCGCCTGACTGCAAATAGAGGCATTGCAATGCATACGCTGCTTGTCGAGAGAAATCTTCTAGCCAGGCCTCACCACGCTGTTCACCCACTGTTGTCCCTTCGACCGTATTTGGATTTTGAGCCTTCTGACGTTCGGTTTCGATCTCCTCACCTATTTCAAGGCACTTTTGGTAGCCCACGACAGCCAAATGACCAATTCCCAGCAATTGCCAAACACGAGCAAAGTTGAATTCAACTTCTTGTCTTTCCTGTAAGACTGAGCTTTGGGATCGGATCCGACGGTATTCTTGCATAAAAGACAGGCCCTCCATGACAAGGTAATGTCTATTATCTGACTGACGCTTGAGCGAATGGCTGATATAGCTGAGTCCAATGGACAGGAGAATGGCTGGATTCTCAGGATCAAGGGCGTATGCGCGGAAGAAGTAATTCAAAGCATTTGTAAAACTGTTGCCAGCATAAAGGATGTGTCCATATAGCACCAGCAGGGCAACATCCATCTCCTCCGCGGGTATATATTCGCCCTCTGAATTTTTGGTCGTGAGACTCGCGCGTTCTTGATATATAGACTCGGGCGAGCGTTTGAATGGCGATAATGGGTCGGGAGGAAGTGAATAATCGACAGCTTTGACTTGTCGAAGCATAAACTTCATGCTTGGTGCTGAATGAAAGAGAGATCTCTGGGGGTTTCCACAAACCCTGCTTAGGGTCACAAAGAGTCTGTAAGCATCAGTGACGAACTGGTATTCTTTCATAAACCATCGTGAAATATCAGACAATCTGTCTTCATCCTTGAGTCGAAGAGCACATGCTACAGGAAAGCAAATCATTAGCGCTTTCTCTTTCACTGTCTGTAGATAGATAACCCACCAAACCAGCAAATATATATTCTGAGTGTAGATGGTTTAGAGTGATACCAAATACTTGCATCAGCTGCTGCACCGAGTGTATCATATGCTTCATCTCCTTGCCCCTGACCGGAAAGAACAAGAGCATATTCAAGGAATATATCCAGCCAAGAATCAAAGTCTATGCCGTGATAGTCATTAGGTATAGAGCTAGCATCGATTTCAGGAGTTCCTATGGAGTTGTCAGGCTTTTATTTGAGAAAGGCTATTTCAGGAGAGGTATTTCTTACCCATTGAAGCTTGAATACGATTAGATATCTCTTGGAGTTCATCAAGGAGGTTTGTTGACTTTAATCTGCCTGCTTTACGTTGTGCTTCCCTCGAATACCCTAGGAAGGTCATCTTCTTTTGTAAGGGGAAGAAAACTCGGTTGGATCGAAAATCCCATAGCAAGGCATACGCAATATCAAGCCAGTCCCCAGTAGCATCCTGTTGGCCCTGTCGCATATATGGCTGTAATTCCAGCATCTTTGCATATAGATACCTTACGTTTTCGCCATCTGGTTTTAAAGAGGCTATTTCACGCCCTTGTTGCTCACCCGGTAGGCTAGTAACGGCGCGCGGGATGAATCCAATGGTGGTACTTTCTTCTGCAGCAGTGATGCCTCCAACGGTTGAGGGTACGGTGCTTTCGGTAGGGGCCAGTTGACCTATACTTTCTGAAGCTCGTTCTATATCCCGAAAATGATTCGCTAGTTTCCCAATGTTTGGGCCAAATCTAGGCTTCCGGCGCGATAGTACCTCTTCTCGACCGATATCTGCTGCCTCCGTAATAAACTTGAGAGCTTGGTCAGTCATGCCCATTTTCTCATAGAAATGGGCTAGTTTAGTTCGTGCTTCTATGTTGGTTTTGTCATATTCCGCCACCGTTAAATAGCATCTTTCAGTTTCTTCAGTATTTCCGCAGGCGTCATAGCATTCAGCCATTGCCAAAAACAAACTAGTATTCGCAAAGTCCTGAACATGTTGAAGGGGTATATAGAATCGGAGAGCATCTTCATAGAGTTGGATATCCTTCATCGAATCGGCCGCTTCCCTGAACAAATCCCCATAATCAAAAAGCTTAGCACCAGGAGAGTTATCATCTGGTTCAAGCCAGTGAAAATGAAACTATATTACTGTTAGCCCCTGTCCCGACCTCAAATGTTGATTGAGTAGTGAGCGAAGATACCAGTGCCTCATCCTTATAGCCAGATTTCAAGCGATATACGCCTAGTTTTATCCGTAACTCAAGCGGTAATCCGACACCATATGACTCAAGGGGGTATTGGCCTGGAACAAACCAGGGTGTTGCAATCCTGCGTGGATAGTCATCTGCATCCCATTCGCGGTCATCATCAACCATGTCCCAACCAGAATCACCTTTGCGGCCTAGAAGCCACCGGGCCAAAGAATTGAGAGATGATATGCCAGCTAGGTACTGGTGCTCATAGGAAAAAAGTTCAACATAAATGTTCACATCTGACCAGGTGAAATCCTCCACCTCTTCGGGATTGAGGTTCATATAGTATGATATACATGTCTCATAATGAGCTCTGGCCTTTCCTATCTCCCCTAGTTCAATATAGAGCGCTGCCAAGGGACGCAAGGCGTTCGTGTTATGGGGAAGGCCCTCGAGAATCTTTTCATATTCTTGAATTGCTTTGCCTTTGTATCCAAGCTCTTCATTTATTGCCGCCCGTTCAAACCGTATATCGTATCGCTTTGGGTCGATATCAATCACACGGCTATAGCAATAAACAACGTCATCTAATGCAGCCGCCCGGTCGCTGTCAGCTCTTTCTAGAATTAGATTAGCAACCTCAAGCCAGATTTCTGGCTTTCTTCGAGTATGAGCTCCGGTAAAAAGTGCATATAATGCCTTTCTCTTCTGGCCCTGGGCTAAAAAAATCTCGGAAAGTAAAACATGAGCTTGGAAAATTTCTGGGTTCAGATGAATTGCCTGTTTCACCAAATCAAGAGCTCGCTCATAGTCTGCGTCAATGAAAGCAGATGTAGCCTCGGATTGTAGGTTTTTGAATTCCGCAGTCGGCTCTACAGGTTTCAGCGGTCCACGTCTGGGTACTCTGCGAACACTGTCGTCGTCATATCCATGAGAAAAGCCGGGTCTCCGACTTTTCCGTGCAATCCTTGACAGGACGGCATCGTCATCATAGTTTTGGTTAACATAATCGTCGTCGCCTTCATAATCCTCTTCCTCGTAAACTTCACCTTCTCTGTTTACGAGTGAGCACCGGTTCATTAAAAAGGATGTTGGAAACTTACAGAGAATCATCCTCAGAGGACAATGATGAGATGCTATCTTGAGACAAAGCTTGATCTCTTTCTTCTGCTGTCACTAGTTGTGACGGGCCAGGATTGTTGGTATCATTGTTGGATGGTTTACTACTAGACCATCTCAACAGCTCTGGATCCGCCTCCATATTAGACTGGGAAATAGGAAACTGGTATGAATATCATTGGCACAGGTAGTTATGATGGTGATCATCCATACTCTGTGGTTAAGAAGATAAAATGAAATGCTTCCAACTGGTTGATCGCATAGGTAAGTATGAAGTCACGATAGGAAGCGAAAACCAAAAAAAGCAAACTCTGAACTTTGAAGGAGCCTCGAGCTTAGTCATCAGGTTAAACTTTCCAGATCAGCCTCGGCACAAGAGAAAGAGCTTTGCAGACGAACGATGAGATCGGCCTTCCCCACGATGGGGACATGGCCGATGGCAAAGTCTAGCGCTTGCAGGGCTCGGTCCCCGTATAAATATGCAGACCAAGCATTCTGCTTTATCAAAGTAACCTGTGGCTTGGTTTTCTGGTCTAAATTTTGACTATCATCTGCCAAATCTCCAGGGGCAAGAATCAGATATACCCCAGACCTCTCAACCACGAGCTACCGTGGGAAATTTAATCATGAAAGATATCACTTTCAAAGGCTGGGTTAGCACTTCAGCAACCTCTCCTTTGACATACACTACATACGAACCCAAGGCTTTTGCCAGCACTGACGTTGATATTGCTATATCTCACTGTGGCATCTGCGGCTCGGATATTCATACCCTACGGTCTGGGTGGGGGCCAACAAATTATCCATGCGTGGTTGGGCACGAGATTATTGGGCATATTATTCGAGTTGGTCCAGAGGTGGCTAAGCTTAATTCTCCTTCTCGAGACTTGAGGGTCGGAGATCGGGTTGGTGTCGGGGCACAGTCAGGTTCATGTCTTCGTGTTGACTGTGAAGAGTGTTCATCGGGCCTGGATAACTACTGCCCGCGCATGACTGGGACATACAATGGAAAATACCCTGATGGAAGTAAATCGTATGGTGGATATGCGGACTACTGGAGAGGCCCGGCGTGGTTCGTGTTTAAAATCCCAAATGGTATTCCCAGCGCAGTTGCTGCACCCCTGTTATGCGGTGGCGCTACAGTGTTTTCGCCATTATTCCGAGGCGGTGCGGGGCCGGGAAGGCATGTTGGCATCATTGGTATTGGTGGCCTAGGGCATATGGGGTTACTTTTTGCCAAAGCCATGAAATGTGACAAAGTGGTTGCTATTTCCCGGACGAGCTCAAAGAAATCTGATGCTCTCACCGGACTGGGAGCTGACGTTTTCATTGCCACTGACGAGGAAAAGAACTGGGCCAGGACACACTCCCGAACGCTCGATTTGATTATCTGCACAGTTTCATCGGGTAATATGCCCATCGAAAAATATCTTCGTCTACTTAAACGTGGGGGTGAATTCGTCCAGGTTGGCGCACCCGAGGATCCATTCCCAGGCTTCAGGGTTGGAGTGATGATGGGCAAAGGATTAAAGATTAGTGCATCTGCCATTGGTTCCACTGAGGAGATCAGGGCTATGCTTAAGCTCGCAAGTGAGCAAAACATTCATCCCTGGGTCCAAGAGCGGCCGATGGGGAATGTGAACCAAACGTTGGTGGATATGCATGAAGGCAAGGCTAGATATCGATACGTCTTGGTCAATGGAACTGGAATCGAGACAAAGCTTTGATTCTATTTTTCAATTCCGGCTTTGATACATACATTGAGCTATACTCCTTTCTCGTGTATGGGGATTTCATTTTTTGAAAGAACGTTAGCCAAATTTGCTGCATTAGATTCAGTAAATTAAACTTGTTTGAAGAGGGAGGAAATCATCAGCGAGTAGACTCTGGTTCCAGCATACTGGAGACTTTAGTACTATATATATAAGATGATATATCCAATATAAGTACTCTTCTGATCAATGTAACAAACTGGTTGATTACCGGCTGTGGGAAGTTTGGATGAATATTTAATGAATATTGGATACTACATTCCGGTGTATATAAACTTCAAAGGCTCTTGATTGTCGTACTAAAGCTTGAAAAATACAAAGCTACAGGAATCGAAGCACTGGAAGAATGAGGAATGAAGGTAGAGTTAAGATCCAAACGTCGAAAGTTGATAATCGTGCGAGTGAGAGTCAACAAGGGGTATATATGAATCTAAATTAATTCAGAAGAAATCATCCACCTCCACCTCCACCGCCGCCGCCGCCGCCCCGCGCGTGCTTTCTGCGTTGCAACCTCTCAAGCAAGGCCATCCCGGTAAGAAGAAACATACGATCAAATTCGGAACCATAGTTCTTGTTCAGCTGAAACTTCCCCATCTTCTTGATGCTTTTTATGCCATTGGTAGAATAGACCCCCACCAGCTCACCAGTCCCTTCGTCGAGTAGTTTGAAATTTGATTCGCTGAATTTATTAGGAACGGATCCTTCAACTCCAATGCTGCGTGTTCTTTTCCAGAGAAATCCTTTTCTGACTCCGTTGACCGTCATTTCGAAGCGGTATTTGGAGTGGTCGAAGCTCTCTTTTCTCAGATCTTCCCACGTCATGTTAAGATTGTCTGCTGGGTCCCCTAGCCCAACCTTTGAATGTGATGAGAATTTGAGGAAGTTGACAACTCCCACGACTGGACCACCCCTTTCTCCGACATGAAACGTTATCTCTGGCTTCCCAGGGGTAAACGTGGACGTTCTGACGTAGTAAAGTGTGGTTTTGTCATTGGACTCGGAAATTCTATAGTTTGTGAACGACGTGGTGTTGTATACATTGAAAATACGATGGTTCTCATCAGCCCCCAAGTCCCCAGGGGCTGAGAGCTGGGTATCAATAGAGGCTGCCTCGGAGGCGTCATGATCATGAGCTTTAGCTGACCCTGCTTTCAAATTTTTGGCAGATGCCATGATTTCCCAAGTGATGGGTGTATCATGCAAATCGATGCTGGGGTAGAAAAATGTGATAGTCAAAAGTGGTCAGAGTAGAGGAGCATTAGCGCCTTTTTATATCAAACTGTCTCGAGACAAGGCTGAGCGATTGGCACCAGAATATTATCACCATAGTGGGCGGGTCATGCTGCTTAACCGCTCACTTGTGTCATATTCGACGGCGAGCAAATGTACAATTGGCTGCTCGATATGGAGTATCGAGGCTGTGATGCTTGATCGTCGGCCAGCTCTGGGCTCGGCGGCTGTCTCAGCTACTTAAAACGGCAATTTCTCGTATTCCATGATGACTAATAAATTTCAATTTCACGTGATTAAAACGGATAAACTTATTTCCGGTTTGAGCTTGGGCCATGCCATCTCAGTTAGGTAAACACCAATTTTCTCTCTCGAGTGACCGGACAAAAAGACGTTGAGAGCAACCTCTGCTAACAAACCATCCACCATCCAGCTTGCTCTGCCATTGCGCATCGATTTGCGGAGGGGACATTGGCTTTTGGAGCTGACCCTTAAGCTGATACTGCGGAATGATTTGCTGTGCTACAGTTCCTGACGCGTCTACCTGATCCGTTTACTCTCTCAGCTTGCGCCGCGCTCAAAATAATAATAGCGCTCTTCAATTCAAGATGTCGTTCACAACTCCTTACAGCCCAGGAGCTTTATCGACACCGGACAAGTCTCGGAGTATTAGCTCGAACATGTCCACGACGCCAGCCGGGGTACCTCCTTCCTCTACAGCGTCTTTTACCCCTGCAGGGCCTCCGCCTTCGTCTGGACTTGGAAGCTCGCAGTCAGGAACACGACGTGCTTTGGATTTCTCCGATAGCCGATTCAATCAGTCGACCACATCATACACGGACAATGACCTGTTATCCTTTTCTACTACATCCTCCAATTTCCCGAGAGAACTCGACTCCCCTAATTCTAGTTATCTGTCACACCGACCAACCAGATCGCCGCTTCACAGCAGCCACAGATCTATCCTGAACAAGAGTAAAGGCATCAGAAGCCCATTCGACTCAAGTCGACGCATACCATTCTCACAAGATAGTGAAGCGGTCATTACGGATTCACGCGACTCAGAAGATAACGGAATTGGCTGGTCACCAAGCAAAGACGGTGGCCCGTTTACTAGCTCTCTTTTCCAGCCCACGACAAAGGCGCAGCCGTCCCGTCTGCTACGGAAACCAGTTATTTACTCGAATCCTGCAGGTGCAAAGCGTGCGAAACTCGACGAAACTTGGATACAGTCTACATCTCCGGAGAATGAACAACCTCAGAAGCGGAAGAAGGCCTCGAACTTTCCCTCAATCATCAAAGATTTGACTGCCAGGGCAAGCCTGGCTTCGGTTGATGAGCCGAGTGAGCTATTATTGAGCATGGAGGATGCTATATGTCGGATGTACGACCAAGTCCGTGATCGTAATTCCGACGATGATGTAGTCGACTCAAGCCTTTCTGCCGTATCCGATGAACTATCATCCTTGTGGCAAAGATATTCGCCAGCACCAATGGAGGAAAAGGATGGTGTTCCTCTTAGTGGTGGGATTGGACCTGGAGACTCGTCGCCCAGTATCATGAAGGCTATATTCTTGAGCTCATTACTGCTCCAGCTTCACCATCCTCCGCTACTCGAACCGAGTAACCAAGTCTCGAAATCTTCTCGCAGTATGTTCCGTGACTTGGTGATGAGAGATGAACCTCTACCAAAAGTTCCGATACCCAAAGTGCTATTTCAATGGTTATGGAGATATCACGACTTGGAGACAATTCATTGTGACATGCTTCAGGATATACAGCCAAACCCAACCGCCTCCCCGATGTTTTGGAAATTTATCCTCAAATCTGTCCTGCGTGCCGAGTTTGGTAACGTGATAACGCTTTTGAGCGAGGCAGATTTTAGCTACGCCAGAACTGCCATGGAGGATGGGTACGAGCAGCCAGGATACCATGGCTCTCAGCTACAAAATATCCAGCAATGCGTGAATAAAGCTCTACAACTCCTTAAATCATGCCCAGCAGTTCAGCGTGATGACTGGGATGTTAAAGGGGTTGAATGGGCCATGTTTAGGAAACAAGTGAACGCCGCGATATTAGATTTAGAGGATATGGCTGAAAGTGGGCAATCTCAGATTTCTGATGACGGTGATGGACCATT